GCTGGAACAGCTGCCCAGAGAGGCTGTGATGCCCCATCCATCCGTGGAGGTGTTGGAGGCCAGGTTGGATGGGGCCCTGGGCAGCCTGGGCTGCTGTGAATGTGAAGGTTGGTGGCCCTGCATGAGGAAGAACTTTTTCTCTCAGGCACTGCAATGGCTGCCCAGGGAGGTGGTGGAGTTGCCGTCCCTGGCAGCGTTCAAGAGGCAACTGGATGAGGAGCTGCGAGATCTGGTTTAGTGCTTGTGGTAGCAGTGGTGATGGGAGGTTGGACAGGGTGATCTTGCAGGTCGTTTCCAACCTTGTGATCCTACAGTTCTGTGGTTCTACAACCCCACACTGCTGCACTCACTGTTCTGCTGCAGCTGCACACCGCTGTCCACGCTGCCCCCGAGGCGCGACCCACGCTGACGGCAGTCAGGAGGTTTCCATCCTGGATAGCAGTGGCAGTGCCGGCGGTTATTGCACACCTGGGGGAGATATGGGGAGGGGGCAGAGGGTCTTCAGGTCAGGCACAGCTCTGCCCAGGGCCACCCATCATGATGTGGTGTGGGTAGGGAATCCCCCCGCAGCCCCACGCTGTTGCTCACTCCGTGGCCGTGGCATTGGATTTCACTGCTGCAGTCGTAGCCCAGCACGGAGTGAGGGTGGCACGTGTTGTTTATGCACACCTGGAACATCACAGTCAGAGTGCTCAGCTCAGCCCCCCACATCGGAGCAAAATCTTCAACGCATTTTAAATAAAAATGCAGATCAAATATTCTCCTACCATTTCGGAGCCGCATTTTGTGCCCGGTGGGACCAGCAGGGGATCTTGCCTTGGTGATGCATTCAGGAAATCCAGAGATACACACAGCTGCTCCCGAACCCGGGCATAAACAACTGCAGCGCCGTCAGTGTCCAGCGGGGCGCTGTGTGGGTAGGTGCAGATCAGTTTGCCACAGCGAAGGTTCCTGGAACATCAATCTGCATGAAATGGATGCTTGGACATGGATATGGACAGACACTGCGTGGTGAAACATCAGCATCGTTCACAGCGCCAGTGTGGAGAGGGGCTGCAGTGCTGGCAAGGAGAACACACACAGCTCTGCATTTGCTGCTGAGCACAGCTACAGCATTGATGCTTTCCTGCTCTGTGCAGCCCGAATTAAAACCAATGGTGTGCTTTTAGCAGGGAAGTGCCCCTCTTCATCCACCTACCTCCATGCACAGGCCCTGTAGCCGTGCCGGGGGTGGTACCCGCAGTGCCCAAATCTGTCCCTCTGGCTGTTCAGTTCCTCATAGCACACCACGGGAGCGCTCCTCGAACCTGCATGTTTTACCAGTAACGTTGCTCTTCACACACAGCCCTCAACAGCTTCCTATTTCCTCAGGCTGCACACAGCAGAACGCAAACCCCAGTCGCTGCCACCACCCAGCATCCCACCACCCGCCGTCCCCAGTGCTGTGCTGGGTGCCTCTACCTCTCCCATAGAGCCGCTGGCACTGCAGCTCAGCCGACTGGCAGCGCCCATGGTAGCAGTAGCCTGTGCTGTGCTCACAGCTGTGCCCATCCTGCACGTAGACATCAGGGGGGCAGGAGGCAGAGGAGCCGTTGCAGAACTCGGGCAGATCGCACTGAGCGTCGGCGGAGGGGCGGCACGGAGTGTTGGGAGCTTTGAACTGGGATTGAACACCAACTGCTGGCTGCAGCCCGTGGCTTTGGGGCATTGCACACCCCCAGCAATAACACCTCCCCCAGTAACATCCATCCAGAATTAAAGGGAGCTGAGCTGGAAATCCCCACCCAGGAACCACCTCAATTGTCTCCATCCTTAAGAAACGATATTTCTCCGACGATCGATGATGGTTACAAGATCAGAGCCTTACCTGACATTCTTCACAACATAACCCGGAGGAACATTTCACTCCTGGCTTAAACACGCATCCTTTAGTGCAGCATTTATCCTTCGAGCATGCCTGAGGACACAGCAGCACCACATTACACCACATTTTTGTCCTTCCCCCCCCCAAAGAACTTCTCATCATCACACCTTCTCCCCTTTTTCACCCCCACAACGCGAATCAAGCCAGAGTGTGCAAAGCTGCCGTCAGATCAATGCCAGGATCAGAGCACAGCCTTGCACAGCTCTGCATGGACAACACACAGCTCTGTCTGCAGATGCTGCAGTGCACACCTCGGTGCTGCCGCAGTCGCACTGCTCGCCTTGCTCCACCACGCCGTTACCACAGATGGGTGCACGGTGTGGGGAGGAGCCCCGCAGTTGAGGGCTGTGCAGGAGGCAGCGCCCTGCATCGCGCCTCAGGAACTGCTCCAGGTCTGCAGTGCTGCAGCTGCTGAAGGCCTTTGTCCCACTGATGTGTCTGAAAGAAAGGATGAGCCGTTTTTGCTGGCACCGCCACTGCCGTGCAGCGCTGAAGGCTGCGGGGTGACTTCAGTGCAGCCTGCAGTACCTAAAGGGAGCCTACAAACAGGAAGGGAATCAACTCTTGGAAAGGGGAGATGACAGCAGGACAAGGGGAAATGGTTTGAAGTTGAGGGAGGGAAGATTGAGGTTGGATGTCAGGGGGAAGTTCTTTGCCATGAGAGCAGTGAGGTGCTGGAACAGCTGTCCAGAGAGGCTGTGATGCCCCGTCCATCCCTGTAGGTGTTCAAGGCCAGGTTGGATGGGGCCCTGGGCAGCCTGGGCTGGTGTTAAATGGGGAGGTTGGTGGCCCTGCGTGCGGCAGGGGGTTGGAGCTCCGCGATCCTTGAGCTCCCTTCCAACCCGGGCCATTCTGTGATTCTGATGGGGATTGGGCAGCGTTCAGGAATTTCTTGCTCTCAGAAATAAAGCTTTGATTTTCAAAAGTGAATCCCTATTTATCCTTCCTCCCTTCCCAAGCAGGTATCCCTGCACCACCGCCACCACCACATCTGCAGCAGAGCCCTCTGCTGGGCGTATCTGTAACACAGGGACCCCCGGGCACTCACAGTGCTCTCGATTCCATGACACAGGTGTGTGTGGGGCAGCGGCAGCTCCGGCCATCATCAAACCCCATGCCCAGGCTGCGCCCCAGCAGCTGCGCCAGGACGACGGAGAACGATTCCAGAGTCACGGCGCGCTGCAGCTGCAGGAGAGCAGTGCTGTTGGCTGTGATACGGCCTGGCCACATCCCCCCATTCAGCACAGCCCCATAGCACGACCCCATACCACAGCCCCATAGCACAGCTCCATACCACGGCCACAGCACCAGATGCATCACTGCGGCACAGCATCCCCGGAGAGGTCGCACCCACAAAGTCAGCCTGGTCCCGGTACCTGGAACACAGCAACTCTGTGCAATGCCCAATGATCCAAAGCACAAAGGTTTAGCAGCTCACTGCTAAGGCAGTGGCTTTCTTACATCAGCAGGTAGGGCACTACGTAGTGCCGCAGGATTGCGCTGCCCCTCTTCCAATCCAAGAAGCGCAGCAGCACCACTTCTCCAGCCCCCGTGGTCTGAATTTTGTTCCTCAACCTCCAGACCTCCATAGAGGACAACGTCACGGTTACATTCAGGGAGCTGAACATCTGGATGCACAACGACAGAGATGACCCTCATGTCGGGCAGGGAAAAGCCCGCTGCCGTTCTGCGCACGGAGCACCACCGCCCCTCAGTGGAGCGTTTCGTTATAGGACAACACGGCACCAAAGCGATTTTAGGGACTGGGAGTAATCCCAGCACAACACGGTTGAAAGCAAACGTGAGACAAAGCCGAGCAGCGCCGAGCTGAACCCAACCAGCAGAACTCCCCACTGCAGCACGCAGAGCACAGGTGAAACTCACGCTGTTGAGGAAGCTGATGAGCTGAACCACCTTCTGTGACACAATGTATTGGTCGTCCCCCAGGTGCCTGTACTGGAACACAGGGATGCACGGTGGCTATTGGCCATGCTGTGATGGGCTGATGGCCACGGGGGGGCACAGAGAGATGTGGGACCACTGCAAAGCTCTGCAAGAATGCAGAGGACAACCACAGCCTGGAGTCGGGCTGCGCCAGGCTTACCAAACTCTTTTCCAGAACCACATGGAGCAACACCTCTCTGCGGTGCTTTGACAGTAGCTGGAGGAGAAAAAAAGCTGGTCACTGTTAATTAATCTATCCATGTAATTGAGATGTAATGGGTGCTGAGCTCCGACAGACCCGGAGATATTGGTGCTGGGTCAGTCCCAATGACAGCACTCACTTTCAGAGCTGGTTGTGCTGTGTCAGAGCTGCCGTCAGCCGCCAGCGCATCCCTGCTGACCCCAAGGTGGCCGTGAGGGAGCAGAGCCTCAACTGCAGCCCCACTGCTCACGGGATAAACCACGTGCTGGAAGGAGGGCGAGGAGCCCAGCGGCTCGATCCCGTAGCTGGCATTGTGGAATTGCAGCAGGCCCCTGCAGGGGGCACAGCGTCAGTCTGTGAGCAGCGCCGGGCAGCACTGAGCACAGCAGCACTGCGCTCCATACCTGAGCCCCATGCATGTGCTGAGGGTCACTGCTGAGCCAGGAATGCCCTCGATGTGGCCACGGTAGTAGCAGTCGCCCTACAGCAAAGCAAAGGGAACCCTCAGCACATCCCAGACCTCCCCAACGATGGCTCTGGTTGCGTATCTGCATGGACAGCTTTCTGTTCCACCCCTGCATGGTTTAGGATGCCAAAAAGTGGAGAAAGGAGGGAAACTCCACTCTCCTGTAATAAGGAGAGACAAGTCTGAAAGCACTGAGCAGGAAGGCCACCCTGCAAACTGCCAACGGAGAGAAGCTAGCTGAGATTACCTTGATATAGGGTGAATCAGAGCGCAACGATCCTGTCTCATTGTATGTGTAAATGCTGAAATCAGCAGGTAAAAAGAGCCTGGAACAGAAATACAGCAAAACGCTCTGAAAACACCCAAAGAAAAGTTTATCTGGGATTTCCCCAGATCAAACCAACTGCTGCAGCCACACTGCACGTGTACAGAGCCCACAGTCCCTGCAGACCCCAAACCACTGCCATCAGAGTTGCAGGCATGAGCAGCCCCAGCCCCCAGCGCAGCCATGGGGGGTGGCAGCAGGTTGGAATCGCCAAAACAGAATCACAGAATGGCCAGGGTTGGAAGGGACCTCAAGGATCACAAATCTCCAACCCCTGCCACATGCAGGGCCACCAACCTCCACATTTCACAGCCCAGGCTGCCCAGGGCCCCATTCAACCTGGCCTCCAACACCTCCACGGATGGATGGGGCATCACAGCCTCTCTGGGCAGCTGTTCCAGC